AAAATTAGCATGAGGAAATAGTTTTTACTTTGTGTAATGACCCATCCACTCCCAGTCTTTATTCAAGTCTGATTTAATGGTGTCCAGTTTGCAAATTAATTCCAATTCTGCAGTTTCTCTTTGGAGTCTGTTTTTGAAGTTTTTTTGTTGGAGTATTGCGACTTTTAGGTCTGTAATTGAGTGACCAGAGAGGTTGAAGTGTTCTCTGACTGGTTTTTGAATGTCGTAATTCTTGACGTCTGATTTGTGTCCATTTATTCTTTTGCATAGAGACTGTCCGGTTTGGCCAATGTACATGGCAGAGGGGCATTGCTGGCACATGATGGCATATATCACATCGGTAGATGTGCATGTGAACGAGCCTCTGATAGTGTGGCTGATGTGATTAGGACCTATGATGGTGTTCCCTGAATAGATATGTGGACAGAGTTGGCAACAGGCTTTGTTGGACGAGAGCTGAGGAATCATTGTTCTAAGTCAGCCATAAGCCCAGGAACCTATCCTTGCAATAAAGAGAGAGAGAGAGAGAGAGAGAGAGCCTGTCAGACAACTTACTTTATCTGCCATTTTATAGGCTAAAACCATATTGTTTAGTTATCGTCTAGCCATATTATGAGCTATTTCTTTCAAGCAGAGGAAAGTAGACCCCATGTATGTAAAGAAATGTTGGATGTCTAGCACGATTTCCTGCAAATGGCAGCCAACTCTGTCAGTCACTAGTAAACTCCACTGCTCCGCTCCAGCACCGAGACCACCTAGGCCCATCTTTAAATTTGGGCTTGTCTGCACTTACAGAGCTGCATCAGTGCAGCTGTGCTACTGTAGCTCTTAGTAAAGACACTACCTATGCCAATGGGAGAGCTTCACCCGATGTCGCAGATAGTTCACCTCCCCGAGATGCGGTAGTTATGGCAATGGGAGAATATAAATATAGCACTGTCTACACCAGGAGTTAGGTTGGTATAACTGCATCACTCAGGGGTGTGGGTACCAACACAGTTATACTGATATAAGTTTGTAGTCTAGACCAGGGCTCAGTGTACAGAGCCTTCACCCCCATCGTTCCAGTATTATAGCAGCAGCAGCTAGGAGAGCCAGCAGACAATAAACCATAAAACATTTTTGGCTCCCTTTCCCACTTCTATGGCTACTAAGTGAATCCTGTCTTGTTCCTATGGCAAAGGAGCCTGTTGAAGACAGTCACAAAGAGGAGGAGAGGATGGGAGAAGAAACAAGGGGGAGGAGGGGCAGGGGAGAGGGCTAGGGAATCAGCAGTGATAGAGGAAAAAATACTAACAGACTATGGAGGCAATAGCAATAAAGAATTAGGGAGCTCTCTTTCCTAAAGCATTTGTGTGTATAGTCCCCAGGCAATGTGCTGCAATCTCAGGAACTAATTTTCCTCCTTTTTTGGGCAATATGGTAATGCTATTTATTTGCAGTCGATCCATATGTGTGTTCAGTGTACTTAGAGGGTTAGGTTCTCCACCCTGTCCGATCTCTGCCTGGGTGCAATGGAGAGGGAAGGCCACAGGGAGCCAATTGTGGCTCCCTGATCCTCAGTGACCTGGCCCCAGCACAAGTTAGAATGGCACAGGTGCAGTTCTAACTTGCACCTTTGGTGTATGGTCCCTCAGTGGAGACTCTGACATAGTGGTGACTTTTACCACCCTGGAATATTGATTCATGCATTGGTTGATACTGGTCTTAATGATGCTTTCATCAACCACGTCATACTTTTATAGTCTCTCTTCCTCTGTAGTACCGATCAATTATACTTTTGCAACCACTACAGTAGGTGGTGCTAGTGGAGCAGCACAGGCTAAACAATCAAGCCTTCTTCACTTCCTTGACTAAGCTCAAGGGCTTCACCTCCACACCATTCCCAGTGTGAGAATCCCAAGGTGATTCAAGTCTTCCATTTGACTCTTACCTATTGAGCTGTCCAGAGAGCTCTGCATCAATTCCCATGTATTAATTACAAGAATGTTGCGAAAGTTTAAAGCAGTTAATAACAGTACATTTTTCTTTCTGTGTATGTGTTTGATAATTGACACTTTTTAACAGGTTAGTTAATTTTTTTATACTTAAAAATGAGAGTTTCCTACCTACTGCTGACCCTAGGAAAGATTCCTGGGAGACTGTCCAGGAAATTATAGGAATCCCTTGACTAAAGACATAGAGAAGAAAATATAGTTCCTGTCATTCTTGTTTTTACAGCTAAAACAGTCTGTGCTTTTGCTTTTGTTTCCTGCAGCTACTTGATGTTGTCTTCCACCTGGCACAGCAGAATCTGCGGTTGCTCGTGCTGGGCCGCAAACACATGCTGACTGGATCTCATAGCTGGAAAAGGCACATTGTGGCTGCTATGCAGAAGAAAGCAGACTTCTTCTTTGCTGAAAATGTGTAAGTATTGATGAAGATGACTCAATTTACTGGCAGTCAAAACTAGATTCATTTTTATATTTAATTACTTAAACCAGCTAATTTTGTGACTTACTACAATACTATTTATTATTAAGCACTGACAGTGCTCAGCCCTATACATGCAAAAGAGAACAACATATTCCTTGCTCCATGGAGTTTACAGTCTAAATGGACAGAGAAAACAGATTAAAAATTGTGCTAAAATACAGAGCTCTAATAATGTAGATGTCTAAGACCAATACAGGAATGAGGATCAAGTGGAACGGGGAAAAATTGAGACAGAGGCAGATTGCAATTCAAAAACAGGTGGCCGTTTATTAATGGGGAAAAAATCACAACTTGGGCTGGGGACAAGCACTTTTACCAACCAACAATACAAATTCAAACAAGTAACCAACCAGAAATATCACCAGAGCAGTAATATAAAACAAGCTATATACATTTAACAACAAGGAATCTACAACCAACTATTTACCAAAAACCAGAACAAACATACAGAACTGAATAAACTGTAACAATTTGCCCTCTATACACTGTACAAGAGATTTGGTACCAAGTAATAAAGAAAAAAGGGCATAACCAACAGAATATCTACAAAAATTAATACCTGCATGCCACACTCCAGGCGCAGCTGACCAGCAGTACAGACACCAAGGACATGATGAGATGGAACCCGAAATTACACGACACGAGCTAGCTAAATCCGGAGGAGATCCTGGCTGAAAGGGTGATCAGGCCTTTCAGCTAACACGCGGACACTCCTGCTGATTTAGACCAGAGACATAGTTTTGTTCGAAGACCCTTGCACGTGCTAGCATCTAATTGGTTCCCCGCTCCTACACCAACCAGGCTCCAAGCTGGTGCCCCCTACGTAACAGGCACTGCACACGGCACACTAGGCTTATGCACACTGCCCGCTGGAATTGTAGCACACGATACCAATGTGACCTACAATTGACCAGGCAGAAGGTTCGAGAATGGTCACACGGCCCCAAGGTGCTGCACACGACACCGATGTGACCTTCTGACCGACAATTGGCCATCCGGACGCCATGACAGAGCATAGGGCTGCGACAGTAGAGTCTTAAGGTATGTCTATACTGAAATAAAAGACCCGCAGCTGGCCCAGGTCAGCTGGCTTGGGCTGTGGGGCAAAAAATTGCTCTGTAGATATTCCGGCCCAGGTTTGAGCCCAAGCCCTGGGACCCTCACCCCTCATGGGGTCCCAAAGCTCAGGCTCCAGCCTGAGCCTGAATGTCTGCACAGCAATTTTACAGCCACACAGTCCGAGCGCTGTGAGCCCAAGTCAGTTGACTTGGGCCAGCCGTGGGTGTTTGAGCGCTGTGTAGATGTACGCATATTGACACCTATATGGATCATCAGCAAGGTAGGAACCTTTAGATCCACAGGTAGACCTCTGCCAATTGAGCTAACAGATTAACTGATAGTATAGATTGTCATCCTATATGTCAGTGGTTTTCAACCTTTTTAATTTGCGGATCCCTAAAAAATTTCGAATGGCGGTATGGACCCCTTTGGAAATCTTAGACATAGTCTGTGGACCACCAGGGGTCCACGGACCACAGGTTGAAAACCACTGCTCTATGTAGATCAGTACTAGAAGGGGATGAGACGCACATTTTGCCAAATGTTTCTTGACAGCAGAGGAATGTTGAGAGTAGGGAACCTTGAGTTCTACTCCAGGTTCTGGAAAGGGAAGTGTTTTTGAAAAATCTTAGTTCACACATGCTCAGTAGAGACTTGTTAGAGTTTGGCAGCTAAGTGTAAATGGAATCTACAGAGAATTTAGCTAAGATTTTTCAGAAGCTCATAACTTGGCCAGATGGGGTTGTTTTTCATGGGAACAGGAAAAGGCACATCCCTGGCACAAAGATTCCCTCATCCACTATGCTGAATTTAAGTCCCTGCTCCAGTTTGGATGTGCTAGAGAGCTTCTCAGCAAAATGGTTGTAATAATTTTTAACATGGGCAAAACTGCATTTTTTCTTAATCTTCTCAGAAGGAGATAAACCAATTTTGCTGAAACTTTAAAAACAAACAAACAAACAAACAAAAAAACCACGCTATCCAGCCTGAGCAGAAAGCCAGCATGGAAAATTTCAACCTGAATGGTTAAAGTTTGGCAAAGTTGTAAGCAACTGAAAACAGAATCTTGTAATGCACAGTGTTAACTATAGACACACCTACTGGCTCTACCTATAATAAATGTGCAGCATTTCTTCTGACTTACCTATTTTTAGATCCTTGGATGGAAAGTACTGTAGAATTGCAGAGCTGTTGTTACGTAATGGAGCTTTTCTCAAGGAGGGATAAAAAGTTTAACAAAAAAATTAATGTCCCCTCCCCATCCCACATCTGTCTGATTTCAGTGAAGATGAAGTCGAGTATATTCTCTGAAAAAATCTTAGCGTTTCTTGGGAATGAACCCACCCACAAGTCTATGAATCAGAGTTACACTGTGCTATGAATGACACTAGAGCAGGGGTAGGCAACCTATGGCACACGTGCCGAAGGCAGCATGCAAGCTGATTTTCAGTGGCACTCACACTGCCCAGGTCCTGGCCACCAGTCCGGGGGGCTCTGCATTTTAATTTAATTTAAAATGAAGCTTCTTAAACATTTTAAAAACCTTATTTACTTTACATACAACAATAGTTTCGTTATATATTATAGACTTATAGAAAGAGACCTTCTAAAAACGTTAAAATGTATATAAGTGTCTTGCATCCCACTCTTACTACAAGCACTGAGAAAGATGAAGCATGACGCTTGCCCAAATGCCTGAGCACACTTCTTGTATGCAAGTGTCTTGCATCTGAAGAAGTGAGGTTCTTACCCACGAAAGCTTATGCTCCCAATACTTCTGTTAGTCTCAAAGGTGCCACAGGACCCTCTGTTGCTTGTTACAGTTTTGTGCAAGTGTGTGGGGCCCCTGAAGACACAATCTGAATGTTAGTGCTTCTGTTCACGGTAGCAGTTTATTGTGAAATCACATGGTAAGTTACCATTTTGTTACTTGCTGTGTTGTAGTGGGAAGGGAAAACGTTCTTTCTTCTAGGCAGCTAAATTTTAATTCCCTTCCGAAAATTTGGATGCTTTGTGGTAAACAGGAAAAGTTCTTTGTTTTAACAGAGAGCTTAGTGGTGATGGGAATTTGCATTAATGATGATGAATAAAATTCAGCTGAATGCTTGATTCATTTCCTGCATCCTTTTAGTGCCCATGAGTGACGTCCGTCTTTACTCTTCGTGGTTTATTTAGGTCAGAAGATGACCCCTTCCTATTATATGCCACTCTTCACTCAGGCAGTCATTGTAAGTTTCTTACTAGAGACCTCCTGCGAGATCATAAGGCTTGTCTTCCCGACAATCTTACTCGGCATCTGTTCTTTAAGTGGCAGCGTGGACACCAAATGGTGCTTTCCCACTACTGGCCAGGAAAGAGAATAAAATTTCAGGTAAGTTCTCTGCTCTCTTCAGAAAACCTACAGAACATACTCATTAAATGCATAAAATATGAGCCACAACTAATAAAAAAATGTAGAAAAAATTCCTATTGAGGCCTAAGGGCAGAATTTGTATGGATGAGCACATAAGAGGCAGTGTGCTCAAAACTCCAGTTTCACTCTCAAATAGCACTTCTGCTCACAAAATGTGTGATTTGCCATTGTAGGCAAGAGGACTGATTAATAGACAAGAAAGTGACACTTCAAGGGGATAAACATCTGTTTACCTGTACAGTTACATGTTTGCCTTTACAGACCTTTTGGGTGAAATGTATCATAGGTGGACATACTTGAAAATTTTACCCTGAGGGTATGTCTACACTGCAATGTAAGTGCACCATTAGTGGGACTCGAGTCAGCTGACCCGTGTTAGGGACTCATGGGCTTGAGTGTCTACATTGTATTTTAACCCTTTGTTAAGACTTTTCTAACCTGTGCTCAAACATAGGGCTCTGGTGTCCACACTGCAGTGTGCAGACCCAAGTCAACCCTAGTAAAGTAAACTGTATCCCAGAATCCCTTGTGCCCCTCACCCTTGAAATGTCGCTGCTCTAGGCCTAGGACAATGGTGTACTGTGTGAAAACTTTACTGCCTACCCTGTACATTGCCAGGAAGCAGCTCATTTTGCAAAAGTCTTGATCAATTCGCTCTCCATTGCAAGCCCAGGAGGCTCTCTGATAGCATACTTGCAGACCAGTGATCGGAAGAGAATGGGTTAATGGTGACCTCAGCTGCTGCCATTTGCAAAGGAGGGGTGGGTTATATTTCAATAGAGTGGATTGAAGATTCTTGGGATAGAGAGGGCTAAGGAGGTTGTCCTGTGGAATTGTGGGATACTTCCAGCTGACTCTTGGGACCTGAGTCAAATGGTGTCTACACTGCAAAGCAATAGGGCTTGAATCCTGGTTCCCAGCTCACCTTGAGCTCGGACCCTCCAGACCTGCAGGGTCCTGGGACCATGGGTCTGAGCCCTGGGTTAGTGCAATTGCAGTGTAAATGCAAGGGGGTTTAGGCTTGAGCCTAGGCTCAAGACCGGGCTTACACTGCAGTATAGACATACCCTTAGAGCCCTTCATATCCGGCTTCCAAATTCTGCTTTTTCTTGCATCTGTTATAAGCGTGAAAATAGATCATTCTCCTCTTCAATTCTTCCATAAAGTGTGTATTTTTAATTCCAAAATAGAATGCATTTTTAATTCCTTTTTAAAGACGTGTTCACAGACAAATACAGGTATTCAGTGCAGCAATGTTCTAAACAGGTAGTTTCACAGATATGTAAGGTGCAATAAAGAGAGACATATTAGTCAGATATGCAATCAGTATACAGCTAAATGAGTGACGACCTTCTGAGCATAGTATGCATAGTTTTGGCTGGAGGAAGTCACTTGCTGTTTCCTTGGCGAGACCAATAATAGAATACTGCATACAGTTATGGTGTCTACAGTTTAAAAAGAATGTTGAAAAATTGGTGAGAATGCAGTAAAGAGCCACAAAACAAATTCAAGGGCTGGAGAAAATGCCTCTCATTGAGAGAATTAAAAAGCTAAATCTGTTTAGTTTATCAAAAGAAGAGTGAGAGGTGACTTGATTACAGTATGTAAGTAGCTTCACAGACAGAAAATACCAACTACTAAAGTGCTCTTTAATCTAGCAGAGATAGGCATAATTAGAACCAAGGACTGAAGTTAAAACCGGACAATTCAACTTAGAAATAAGGAACACATTTTTAAACAGTTAGGGTTGATTAACCATTGGAACAAACTACTAAGGAAATTGGTGGATTCTCTATCTCAGGGGTTGGCAACCTTCAGCACGCGGACCATCAGGGTAATACGCTGGCAGGCCGCAAGACATTTTGTTTACATTGACCGGCTGGAGGCACGGCCCCCCACAGCTCCCAGTGGCCGTGGTTCGCCGCTTTCTGCAGCTCTCATTGGCCGGGAACAGCAAACCACAGCCACTGGGAGCTGCGGGGGGCCATGCCTGCAGATAGTCAATGTAAACAAATTGTCTTGCAGCCCGCCAGCGAGGATTACCCTGATGGGCCACATGTCGAAGGTTGCTGACCCCTTTTCTATCTCTTGATGTCTTCATATCAAGATCAAATATTTAAAGATACACAAACCAGAAAGATTCTGTGTAGAGGAAAAAATATTGAGAAGATGAGTCATGATCCAATGAAAAAGATCAAGTAAACAGTAGAAATCTTGAAGTCAACAAAGAGATTCCTGTGGTGGTGCTTTTTGAGTTCAACAGACTATAGTTAAAGAAGAATACTAGGACTCTGTTAACATTTTGTATATTTATATTAACTGGGATTTATACACGTCTTAGGTGGGTTGGGTGCAAGGTTTATGAACAGAAATATCCAGTGTTCCTTGCAGTCAGACTACCTATCTATTTACTTTAACATGCTCTGCTTTTCGTGTTTGCTGTTCTGCAAAACCATCCAACAGCTTTCCACTGATACTCCTGAGAAAGGGCAGGAAATGTTTGCTAGTCATTGCAACATTTTTATTTTTTTTCCATTGAGTAAAGTCAATATAACATTTTTTTCTTGTCTTTACCCACAGCCTATTCTCACTTACAACACAGTGGTACAGACTACTGGTGACACTTGGCATATTCCCTATGATGAACAGCTGGTGGAAAGATATTCCTATGAAGTGCCAACAAAATGGCTTTGCCTTCAACGGAAATAATAAAGAATGCAGTTTTACAAACTAAAACTACAATTGTTTGCCACTGTTGCTAACAGGCAGAATCCAGTGATCATGCACAGTCATGGGATTAATACACCAAATATGAATCCTACAGCTGACTAAATGTTCACCAAATTCATATCTGCTGTAACTCCATTGAAGTCAGAGTTCATTTTGCCCTGTAATAAATAAGAGATTTGTTGTAGCACCATTTATTAAGATTTTATTGGGATGAGGTGATGAAGGGATTGAGCACTAGGATGGTCCATAGATCCTCCTAATAAATTTTAGCTTCTAAATTTCCAAAGATATAAAATCTTGAACTTATTTCTTAGTTAAAATAATAGTTTGTTTTTTACATAAAAATTGATCATATTAGGGACTTCACTGTGGGCAATAATATGACACAGCTGAATTTTGTATAGCCTCTCATAGAAACTTGAGGTAATTAGAAGACAGCAAAAGTGGTATAAATTACAGAAAAAGTGTTGTAAACCATTATCATTATTTATTAACTATTTGTATGACAGTTGTGAATCCTGTTTTTTCCATCTACCAGCCTTATACGAGAAAGTCAAATGGAAATGAAATATTTATCTTTGTGGAAGGATCTGAAGAAAAATTCACTGTCAAGTTTTGCAGTATAAGAAAGCTGATGGGCCTCTTACCAAATGAAGTAGCTCCCACCTGGGCCCTCACAAACAGCTTTCCAGCATGCAAGCCACACCCTGAATGTCTGCGTGAATACAAATAATGAGGCATAAGGGTCAGAAATGGTTACAAGAAAAATAAATATAAGATGTTTACTAATACCCAACTTCATAAACTATAGCAGATTCGAGCAAAGTTTCTCATTATATGCTTTCAGCAGTCTTACTGACCAAACCTTCCCCCAGAGTCCAACAAATGTTCCTTTGTCGCTTCAAGTGTAGTGAATACGATGGGTGGGGGGTGTTTGTACCTCCCTTTTATAGTTTCAGTCCCTCTCTTGAACAACATTTCCAGCTAGGCACCAGGAGACAAAAAGTCTATGAGGAAGGATGTTCCCTGCTGCTTTTTCCTCACCTCTTTGAGCTTTCTTTGCTCCCTGCTTGATGACTCTGTTTACTACTTAAATGCAAATTAAGCAGGGCACTCATTCCTTTGTTTAGGACAGACTTATTTGTCAACTTCTGTTTGAACAGGGCTGTGGGATTTGGAACATGGGAAAATACATGTTTTATCAGCATGATACTGACCAGCAAATTATGAGTCTTCAAATGATACCTTACAAGGCATACTTTGTACAAAGATTATTACAATAGTATGTAGGATGTTAACAAGGGATTCTGTTAACTTGATCAGAATTTACTTAGCTGCTGTTTTGGCACATCACCTGCATACAATTTCTTCACACCCAACTGTGAACAAGTTTCTGAGGGATCTTGTCAGAGTTTTTCCTCCAATTAAAGAACTGCTCTTTTTGTGGGGGGCTTAACTTGGTTTTATCTGCCCCGATGGTCCCACCATTTGAACCCATTTTCTGAAAAATGCATTTTTAATTGCAATCAGATCAGCGAGGAGAGCTGGTGACATTCAGGACTGCATGGCAGACCCACCATATGTATTTTTTTATACAGACAAGGTATATCTCTGCACGGGCAAGTTGTCAAAAATTTCAGTCTCAACCAACATTTGGCCTTATTTTTCCCCAAGCCTTACTGTTCCAAAGGAGAGGCTAACTTCAGCATTTTATTGTCACGGAGTCCCCGGGCGATGCTCTGGAACTGCTCCCTATAGAGCCAGTCAGGACTCTGGTGAAGTCTCCTCCCTGTGAGCAGACTGTCTTCAGGGCAAGGAGCTCACACGGTTTCCATCTTCCTGGGTCTGACCTTTGGAGCATTCAGCATCCTCTGCCCTCCGTGCGCTTCCCACAGTGAGTCCGCCCTGGCGGGGTCCTGGGGAAGCCACAGGGTCCTGCACCCCCACTTTGCAGTCAGACGTGACTCTTAACCAGCCAGTAAAACAGGTTTATTGATGACAGGAACATGGTCTAAAACAGAGCTTGTAGGTACAGAGAACAGAACCCCTCAGCCGGGTCCATCCTGGGGGGGCAGTGAGACAGACACCCACGTCTGCACTCACTCCTCGTCCCCAGCTAGCTCCAAAACTAACTCCACCTCCAGCCCCTCCTCCTCTGGGCTTTGTTCCTTTCCCAGGCCAGGAGATCACCTGATCTCTTTGTTCTCCAACACCTTTAGCTATCTCCTTGCAGGGGGGAAGGGCCCCGGCCATTAGTTGCCAGGAGATAGAGTGTCGGCCATTTATGTGCACTGGCCCTTTGCTCTGCAACAATCTCACTCCCTAGAGACTTAAGAAATGCATAGGGGAAACTGAGGCACCCACACAGTATTCAGAGGAAACATTAAGAACAGCCCCACTTCGTCACATTTATTGCAAAGGACTAAGCCATTTAGACCCACCTTTATGGGGATTGTCTGCCCCAGTCTTTGCAGTTCACCCTCATTGAGTGACCTTAGCTGGCTCCCCACTAGGAGCCCGGTCACAGTGTCTGAGCCACAAACTCTTCACTTGATATCTATCCATAGAGATATTGCACCAGCTACAAGAGCCTTGGTCTACTTGGGACTGGATAATGACTTAACTTTTCACTGACTTTCGGAGGTGACAGCTCATATAAACAAATCCAACTCCATGCTTTGACTACTTCCAGGAGGTTGGAATGGGTGGGATTCCAAACAACTAATGTTAAAATAATAAATTTGGAGATACCAGTAAATGTCACAATTTGTTACTGAATATTTAAAGGGAAATCAAAGGAACTTAATTGAAATTAAATCTAAGGACCAAAATAAAATGATCTACCAGCAAAAGAGAATTTTCTTACAGAATGATTACTGGAAGCTTTGGGGCTGTACCACATAGTATACTTCTGAGGGAATTCTGTGCCAAAAAAATAAAAATTCTGTGCACAGTATTTTAAAATTCTGCAAATTGTATGTGTCAATAAATAAATGTGGAGGCTCCAGCATGGTAGTGGGGAGCACAGGCCACTGACTGCACGGAGACAGGAGATCACATGCAGCCCCTCCTCCCCAAAGACAGGGACTTGGTAATGAGGCTGCACTGGACCCTGACACAGTGCCAGGGCCAGGCATGTCCTGCCCCAGAAACACCCTGGGTCCCTGCCCCTCTGCACCATGCATAGTAGGTGTGGGTAGGCAGGTTCAACCCAGCAGGATCCAAGTGTGGAGGGGCTTAGTGTGGGGGAATCCAGGTGGGGGGTGAGAGGGTTCTGTGTGGGGCAATCTGGGTGTGGGTAGCTCAGTGGGGGATCTGGATTCACAAGGGCTCATTGAGGGGTTCTGGGTGCAGAGGCAATGGGACTCTGCAGGGGGTCCAGGTGAAGGTGATTGGGGCCCGGTGTGGAGGGATGGGACTCGGTGGGGGCATTTGGTTGGGGGGGGACCTTAGCGGGGGCGCTTGGGTGAAGCTGGTTGGGGCTCAGTGGGGTGGGAGTCTGGGTGCGGGGGCTTGTTGGGGTGGTCCAGGTGCAGGGGAGGGGAGGCTTATTGGAGTGGGGGTTCTATTGGCCTGCTTAACAGAGTAGCCTCAGCTGCTGCTGCTAAGGAGAAGCCATATACCAGGCTCTCCTCCCCCCCGCGCCCATTCCCCTATACCCTTTTCTTCCCCATCCAATCCCCCTTCCCCACTGCTTCTTCCCCTCCCCACTGTCCCCATGCCTCCCCCTTCCTCTCCCCAATGTCACTTCCCCCATCCTCCTTCTCTTACTCCCACATTCCCCTGCCCTATCTCTCTCCCCTCACTCCCACATCCCCCTTCCCCTGCCCTATCCCATCCCCTTTCCTTCCCCACTGCCTCTTCCTCCCACCCCACCTCACCTCCTTCCCCCATTTGCCCCACCCCTCCTTGCCCCACCGCAGGACTCTTACGAAGTTATTGTTAAGAACTTTTTATATGTAGGAAGGATGAAAGTCTCCATTGTTTAGACTCTAAATTTTAGAAGGACAGCACAAGCCCCATGAGGAAGCTTGAACTGATTCTACTGTTCTTTAAATAGATTTTCAATCTCCAGGAATGTCCATTTATTATTCATTAGCACTAAGCGTATGCCTACATGGCAGCTGGGAAGTGTAATTCCCAGGGTGAGTGGACAGACACATGCTAGCTCTGCTCTAGAGCTAGCACCTAAAAGTAGCAGTGTGGCTGCAGGGAGACAGATGGCTGCTTGGGCTAGTCCCCTGACTAACAGGGGTTAGGCGGCATTGTACTTAGGTGGTTAGCCTGAGCTGTTGCCTGTGCCACTGTGGCTACACTGCTATTTTTAGGTGCTAGCTTGAGATTGGTAGTTCATTGCTGGCGATGTTGACAATGTTATCACAAATCTCATCTGTGGCTATGCATATGACCGAAGACCAAACCCTGATGTACAGAGTCACTGTACACTATGAGCATGGGAAGTCTGTATCCATGATGTTTGAAGATACAGCTCTATGGCGCCTTTCATGTGCAGCCTGGAAACGATTTAGTTGATCCCGCTCAAAACTGATGCATGCTGATCTTGTCAGAGACCGCCTGTGAGTCCTGTCCTGAGCCATTTGCCAACCCATTGCAGACTGCTCTTCAGGCTGTCTTTGAAGTGCTTGTATGGATGACCAGGGGTGGTGAGTTATATGGGCTCGTGATGCCCATGCTCCAGCAAATTCAGGGCCTGAGGGCCCAGCTCCACCAATGTTCGGGGCCGGGTGTCTCCTCGAGCCCCACCTGCCACCCCACGCACCTCCCTTGGAGCATTCCCCAGCCCCGCCTGCTGCCCCCGCACGCCTCCCCCGGAGTGTCCCCCGGCCCTGCCTGCTGCCCCCACAGGCATCCCCCAGGTCCCTGCCTGCGCCCTGGGCAGCAAGCGGTTGCCTTGCCGCTCTGCGCTGTGCTCCCTCGCCGGCCACTGCCGGCTACAAAAGGAAGCGGTGCCGGCAGCAGGCTGAGGTGGCTGCACAGTCGCTGCCTGTGGGGGGAGGAGGGGAGGAGGCGCACACATTATGGCAGCCCTTCCCCGCCCCCCCCGGCACCCACCACAGCGGAGGCGAGGAGGCTTCCTGGACCTGAGAGGGGCCTGGCCCCTAGGAGCACATGCAGTGACAGTGCCGGGTGAGTGTGCTGCCGGGGTGGGGGGTGAGGGTGACCCCTCTTCTGGAGCTCACTGCTGCTGTGGGGGAGAGGGCTGGGGGGACTGCGGAGTCCTGCCTGACTGCACCCCAACTCCTTATCCCAAGCCCTGCCCCATTCCAGAGCCCACACCCCCAGCCAGAGCCCTCACACCCGCCACACCCCAACCCTCTGCCCCAGCCCTGAGCCCCTCCCACACCCCAAACCACTCATGCCCAGCCCCAGCTGGAGCCTTCATTTGATATGCCATCTATAGAGAGTTCATGGCTGAGAAACATAAAGGAGAGATGTTAAAACTACTGTAGTATAGATCTTCAGTTTGGTAGAGAGATGGTCA